TTTTGTACTGTTTTGAATAGTTGACCTGTGGGAAATGTTTCTACTCTGGTGTATGTGGTTGATGCTAGGTGAATTAGACATTGACTAACGTAATCTTCTCAGTTGAAAATAGCTATGCCTAGGCTTTTATCAGCTGGTTTGATAACTGGATTACTACGTTTCAGATCTTTTATTGCTGCATGGTCTTTTTTGATATGTTACTAGCTATCTTCAGTTTTTGCTACTTTTCTACTTGTTTATCTATTTCCACCTTGGTCTTCTCTTAACAGTTTTTTATTGCTGCGTTGTTTACCGTGAGGTAGGGCTCTAGCGTCTCTTTTCCAATTCTTCTGAGGAACTTCATATTACAATACAAGAAAGATGTGGTAGTATTTAGAGTTACTGAGAATAAACCTATGTTTCTGTTCTGGTTACCAAAGATAGCTTTTACGGGGAGCATTGCTAAATGAGTTAAACTGTGTGAAAAATTTTAGCCCATCTTCTAAGGTAAATAAGTGATTTAGATAAATGAGAGTCCTTTATCTAAAATATTCAAATGACTTTGGGTTAAATATAGATTACTGTAATTATGAACTATGTGTATGGTGTGACAGCTGTTGGTTTGGGTCGTCGGGTGTTTGTTGACTCTTGGGAGCCCTTGGCTAAAAATCTCTCTATTCTTCGTTGTTTCTGTGGTTGGGAGTAAGCGGGCCTTCTTTTTCTTTTTTGTTGATTTTGACTTTTCGATCAGAGCGTCCTCTTGTGTGATGGTACTGACTGACTTTGTGCCTGCCTTAGTTTAACTGTGAGTGCCATCGACATCTTGAATGCAGAGCTGATGATGAACCTTATTGACCTCTGTGTGTGAGGTTGACAGAAGCCTTGCTTTCTTTATTAAGAGAGTGATGGCATTCATTTCGATAGCAGAACTTAGATACTTCTGAAAAATAGACTCATAGTCCTTGAGAAAGGCTTCCTTAATCTGTTTATGGGCTATATGAGAAATCTCAAACATCTGCTTTGGTTTGAACTTAGTTGGAATTATGCTGCCTTTGAGGATGTTTTGTGGTACGCAATGAGTTTTTCCAAGCATGTAATCTCTTTCTCATTAGCTACGTCTGGGTTTACTAAATGGATGATGGTGAAATTGCTTATTACATGTACATGTAAATGCACATTGAGCTTGCTTAATTTAATGCAGTGAATACATTAAAGTAGATGTAACTCGTCATGTCCTTCGCATGTACGTGAAATTAAGTGTAAATGAAAATTCATTAGCTACTATTACTGATTGAGGCTGGGTTTAATGAGTTATTTGTATTGACATGTATGTATAACATAAGCTCATAGAGAGAGAGAGAGAAACTAGGGTGGCAATTGTTAATTAATTCATATTACATCTACATGTATATTGAATTGCTCTGTATGATGTGGTTATATTAAAGCTGTACTATTGTCAGTATAGGTATGACTTATTTGGTGAATGCGTTAGATGCTATGGAAGAAGCGTCCATTACGCGGAGGAGGTGATACTAGGAAGATAGGTCGTCCGTGCAATGGAAAGGCCTGGTCAAAGGACTTCTTTGCCCACATATGTAGTGCTACGACAATAGGTTGGAGTTACCCGTCAACAGCTCACTGAAAACTAGGACATGGGCCAAGGCCACTGAGGCCGCTTTCACTAGGATTGAAGCTGAGGTTTGCCAGGGTGACTTTTGCACACTTTTTCCTACCACATTTTTTAGGACTTAAGAGATTAAATAAAATGACAATTTGGTTTTAAAGAGGACACTATGCCTAACTCTTGTCGATAGTCAGATGTCAGAGTGTTGGCCACAGTCGGTTGATGCTCTAAGTCTGCCTACCCACCTAGACTTTTTTCCTGGCTAACTACCCAGCACCTCATTCTCGACCCTCTTTTCACAACTCGGAGACACCAATTGTCGTCACAACATGTGACAATATCAACAAACTTTTACAATTACTGTGTTAGCACAAAAGCCATGGTCCTTCTTGAGAACCGGAACTGGACGTTGAAACATTTTTAATGGCCAAACTCTCACCATCCTGCCTGCCTAAAAAAACTGCTGTTACCAATATGGCTTGTACAAGTACGTGTGTGTTAATATTAAAAAGATTCATGCAGGATTGTACAAGTGCTACAGTAGTGGGAAGAGAGAGGAGGGTGTAACAACCTTGTGTGTGTGTGTATGACAGTGTTTGTGATAACCACAAGGTTGTGAACTATGTGTAGAAAAGATACACATGTACATTTATATTGTATTAATTGGAGTGTATAGGGTGTGTGCTTTCTCAATAGTGAGATTGGGCTTACCACTGCTAGTTTCCAATACACTTCTATAGTTCCTAGTAGAAGTTTTGGACCATGTGCTCGAGTGTGATTTAGTTATTACCAATTAAGGCTGAGCTTTGGTGTGTCACCCAATGAATTACTTATGTATTGACATGCATGGTTTGCTTAAATACATGTACCTGTAGGAAACTGGTTGGGAGCTTATTTGAAAGGGCAATACTTACAGTTAACGTATGCTGAGTCAGGAAAGAGAGAAAGATTTTTTCTGGGTAAAGCTCCAACTTAGTTTTCACTAGTGTTATTACCGAGGAATATGTCTCAGACTAGTGAGGGTTTAGTATTTCACTCCTATGCCCATCAGAGACCAGCCCAAACTCAAGGAACCCTCATTTCCACAAGGGAGGCTTTTAGGGTTTACTTACATTTATTATACTTTTAAATTATGTTGTTTGTGCAGATACTAGTATTGTGTATACTAATGATTTAGCACGAATTGGTTGATTTATATTTTATGTACATGTGTGTTGGTAAAAATAATAGAACTACTTTGCTAACAAATTTTCTAGTTACAGTAGCACTGGCAGGAAACACTGATACTTTTGGGTGGCCGCATGTTGGGAAGGGGCTAGGCAGTCTGGCCTTAAGAACCGGAAGTGGTGGCTTCAAATATTTTATGGGCCGAACTTTCGCCACTCAGCCTGCCTCTGACCTGTCCCCACAACTGGTGAATTAGAATGGAAATGTGGGTGATTGTAAGGTATGAGTAGTAAATAGTTACATCAATGTGTTTGTCAGTATGTGTAAACAGTAAATAATGATGTGTTGACCATTTACCAAAAACAGTAAGCTAGTGTTATACCTAAGGCAAAACTAACTTATTAAAGTTAAATTATCGACCTATTAGGGGTGTATTTTAGCTGTATTTACTCAAAAGTGAGCTTTGGAGGAGTTAGGCTGTCATCTTTAAAGCTTTAGTAACACACGATGTACTTGCATGAATAAATTATTTGCATGAATATATTACTATTGTCAATTGGGTGTTGAATAATAATTAATAGCCTATTTCTTAATGTTATGTATCTGTTGTTTCCCTATACCCATGGCTAAATGTTGTAATATCAATTTCTCAGAGAGAGAGAGAGACCCCACTAGGGTTAAGACAGACGGGGTCCCCACCCATGCGGAGACCCCATCTGTACCCCAGCAAGCTGCCTTATTTTATTTTACTACATGTATATGCTGTTTCTGTTTATTTAACTTACATGAAAAAAACTAGTTGTTTTTTACATTGAATCCAATAGGTTGCACTCTTTGTAACACTTTAATCCAGTACTGTTCAAGCTTATCGAGTGCCATTGGATTGATCTTAGTGGGTGTGTCAATTATTTGTACTCTTAAATGAGTGATGTTGTGACCTTCCAAGTTAAAATGTTGACAGATATACCTTTGTTGTTTTGATTTTATGGATGATCTGTCTTGGTTCATTCGATCTCTTAAAGTTCTTTCAGTTTTGCCCACATACTGCGTCTTGCTATGAGAACACGAAATTAAATGTACAATATTTTTTAGAGGTGGGCGATACGATACCAAAGTACTCATATATCCGATACCAGGCCTCCGATACCAAGTACTCGATACCAAATCCTGGTATCGAGTAGTGTGGCCACACCTACATATATGACGTCACCGGATATGACCACACCCACTCTGACGTAATTGATATGTCCACACCTTTTATAATTAAGAATAAAAATAATAGTTTTAATTTCAATTGTTTATTCATTATAATTATTTATTGCGCAATTTTAAGTGTTTCATTAGCACCTTGTGGTCCAGATCCTTCTGTATCAGTCTGAGAACCATCTAGTAACGTCTTTACCACATGATCCATGCATGTTCGAGCTTAACTCCAGAACTTTCCTCAAACTATAAATTGAGCAGTGTTTTGCAGTAGCAGTATCATAATCAGACTGAGCTATAAGAGAAATTAGGAGATGACGAAACGAACAAGAAGTGTCTGCTGGGACCATTTTAAAAAGGAAGAATATGCTGTCTGCTTGGTTGGTAGCTGCACAGCAAAGGTGAAGCACTGTGGAAACACCAGCAACCTGATGAAGCATTTAAGCTCCTGTCACATTGAGGAGCATAAGAAGTGTGTTGAAGAGCAAGACAAGAACAAGAAAAAGAAGGTTTCACCATCAACTTCAACTCAAATAACACTTGCAGAGAGCCTTTCGTCCACAAGAAAGTATCCAAAGGAGTCTGCAAAGTGCAAGAAGCTGGATGATGCATTAGTGGAAATGATTACAACAGATATGCAGCCACTATCAATAGTACAGGACTCTGGTTTTAAGAAATACACATCACTTCTTGATCCCCGTTATGAGCTTCCGAGTAGAAGAACTATAACCAGGACAATGTTACCAAAGAAGTACACAGACATCAAAAAAATGCTACAGGAAAAATTGAAGAAGTTAACAAATATAGCATTGACAACAGATATATGGAGTTCTCGTCAAGGTCTTTCATACTGCTGTTTAACAGCACATGCTATTGCTGACAACTGGGTGTAGAGAGCTATGTACTTGAGACATTTAACTTCAATACTGAGCATACAGGGCTACATATATCAACAGAGTTAACCAGAATTGTTAATGATTGGGGATCTCCAGAGATTTCATGCTGTGTGACTGACAATGCTTCTAATATGAACTGTGGAATAGAATTGACTGGATGGAATCACTTGCCATGCTTTGCCTATACTCTAAATCTCGTTGTTCAAGATTCTCTTGGTGCAGAACCTGGGCTGTCAGTGATAAAAGAGAAATGTAAAGCTATTGTTGCTCACTTTCACAGGAGTACTAAGTCATCAGAAAAACTCCGGAGTACTCAACAACAGCTAAACATGCCAGAGCTCAAGCTCATCCAAGATGTAGTAACCAGATGGAATTCTACATACTTGATGTTTGAGAGAATTTTATCTCAACATGAGGCAGTCACAACAACACTTTGTCTTTTAGGAAAGGCTGCCATGTGCATATCAACTGAGGAAAAAGAGAGCATCAGTGAAGCACTTGTCCTACTCAAACCCTTTCTTCAAGCTACAGAGGAAATAAGTGGTGATAAATACATATCAATATCAATAATCATACCTTTGACCAAAATGCTTCTAAAAGCAACCTCAAATGGTCCAAATGTACCTCTACGGCCATTACTTGTTCAGGAACTCATGAGGAGATTTTCTCAGGTTGAGCAAAGATATACTATGGCCGTGTCCACACTCCTTGATCCAAGGTTTAAAAAGTTAGCATTTGCTGACTCAGCTGCTGTGGATCAAGCAATCAGAAGACTGAAGAGCGAGGTTATAGACTTGATGTCAGCTGTGCCAGCAAATGATGAGTTAAGAAATGATGATGACACCGAGTCGGCCAGCGCCGGGCCACCACCGACAGAGGATAGCCTATGGGCTTCATTTGACAGGAAGGTTTGTCAAGCTTCTTCACACAGGACAGACTCAACTGATAGTTTCATTGAGGTCAAGAGATACTTTGAAGCTAAAGTCATTGCCAGAAAGGACAACCCACTTCTATGGTGGAAAGAAAATGGACATCAATTTCCACACGTCATGAAAGTAGCTAAAAAGTACCTCGCAATTCCACGGTCATCAGTACCATCTGAACGCCTTTTTTCAAAGGCAGGAGAACTTATTTCTCAAAGAAGAAGCCAGCTGAAACCAAAGAACGTGGACATGATATTGTTCTTGAACAAAAACTTGCCTTTGTTTAATGTTTAATTATCAATTATGATCAATTAATTAACCATCAATATTAATAACTATTAATTAACTTATCTGCGCATGCGCAGTGGCTCACTACTCATTCACTACTCGATACCATCGATACTGATACTCAGACTACTTGGTATCGGTATCGATTCCAAATTTGTGGTATCACCCACCTCTAATATTTTTTGATGCACATGTAAAAGGCTGTCTGATTTGAATTGTTCTTTTGTGACTTTACGGATAAAGAACTTTGATGCGTTAAAATGCTGACAAGTAGTGCAGTTTGACTGTCTACATGGAGAAGGCTTCATTTCTTGGAATGTGTTCTGTAGCTGCACATTAAACTTTCCATGATTAAATGTCGCTTCTTTGCACTGAATGATCATGTTATTGATTTCTGTTGCTTTCAGTTTGCTCTTTACAAGAACATCTTTTATGGTGCAATTCCTTAGTGTTACGAAAAGTGGATGTTCCGAGTATTGATCAAGCTTGTACTTTGCAAAATGTCTTAATAATTATTATTGTTTTGAGGCTTTAATAATGAGGAGCAGGAATGCATTTGAAGATTGGCTTTTTAGCTGGTGATTGGTATGGTTTTTTAAGTACTTCTATTATGGTAGCATACTCTTTTTACTTGTTTTTGAATAAAATTTGCTGAATAGTTCCTTTCTCTCAAGCATTGTACAAACTCATCAACTTGATATCTGTATTGTGTCTGTGAGGAATTGGTACAAATATGTCTTGATAATTCTCCAGTGATTAACCCTTTAAAGATTTTAACTGGATGACAGAACTTAAGATGGAGATACTGGAATATGCTGTTTTCTTTCTGAAAGGTTGAAAATACAATACTGTTGGTTTTTTTGTCTAGGTTTATCGTCAGATCCAGGAAATTAACTGAACTGTTTGAGTATGTGGTCGTCAATTTGATATTTGGATGATGGTTATTGAGCTTTCTAATAAAACTATCTAGGTTCTGATTTCTTGGTCATACTATTATGATGTTGTCTAAATATCTTTTTAGATACAGTGGTGTTTCTTTCAGTGTTGAAAGGAAATTCTTGAGTAGCACCGACATGAAAATGTTTGCCACAGATGGAAAGAAAGCAGCTCCCATTGCTGTGCCTTGGGTTTCAAGGAAACTGATATTTGCAAAGTTGAAAAAATTATTGTTTATATTTACTGGTAGCAGTTGTGTCATTAAATTTGGGTCGAAAGTGATTAAGTCTGTGAATTTAAAAATTTCTTTATGGATTTTTACAGGCATACCTCCTGTGGAATTAAAGGGTATTGATTGACAACATCTTGAGCTACTAGTGTGACTGGCTCTGTGAGTCATACCTTCTAATTCTACTATCAAGTGGGTAGAGGTTTTGAGGTAGTCATAGTAAGCTTGTGCCAATGGCTGAAGTACATGATCAATAAATTTCGCTGTATTTTGTAGTGTTGAATTATAATGGGAGACTATCTGTTGAACTGGTGGAATACCATCATTTCCTAGCTGTTTTTTTTTGGTAGTCCATAGAATTGAGCAGTGACATGGCAGTGTTTCGGTTGGATAAAACTGTATAATTGTTTGTGTGGCAATAGTTGGTTTTTAAATTTTAGCAATATATTGTATATTTATATTTTTATTTTGTCTTCTGGGAAAATGTTCACTCTTATGTAAGTGTCTGAAGACAAGTGCTGAAGGCACTTATTGACGTAGTCTACTGTGTTTAGTATGACTATTCCCAGGTTCTTGTCTGCTGGCTTAATAATGAGTTTCCTTGGTGTTAAACTAGTTATAACATCATGTTAATTTTTAGCAGTATTTTTGTTTTTTTTTCTTCTTTTTTGCAATTGTCTGCCAGTTTTTGGTCCACAAGTACTTTCGTCACTTATATAAAGGCCGGGATGCGTGTAATTATGTTAACATCTCTGGTGTCATCTCCTTTACTTTTGATGAATTTTATGCAGCTCATCTGTCAATAAAATATTACAACAGTTATAAAAATGTGTGCTTAGGTTCCTCTAATTATTGTATGTAGTTAAATTATATTTTAAATAATCTATATTACTTGTTGTACAGTATGTGTGTTGTGTTGAGGGAGTTATTGTTTGAATAAGTTAGTAGAACATTAAGATTACATGTGGTTGAGGTTTTTTGTCCCTCATAAAGTGCCATCCCCAAAACAGTGAGCACAGAGCCAACAATCTGAACTGGTTTCTACTATAATTTTGGGGACAAGGAATGCGGAACATGTTTATGTAAGGCTGTGTGAGCGGTTGCATGTAGTGGGTCTGGTTTGGAACCCGGAGGCAAGGGAGACACCTCAGAGTTAGGTAAAGTGTTCTGAATGGTCCAGCCACATAAGGCTTTTGGCCCTGTCATGTCTGGCATTGTTCAGACTCTCCAGGATTATACCCAGTTGCCAAATGAAAGGGACGAAGACTTTCTAGTTGCTTCAAACGAGCCGCTGCACACACATACATTCCTTCTTGTATACATGTTGGAGACTCTTCCTCTTGAAGAGAGATTTTTATGGGTAAAACTCCCACTTAGTTTTTACTAGTGTTATTACTGAGCAATATGACTGATACTAGTCACGGCTTAGTATTTCACTCCTATAGCCTCTCAAAGACCACCCCAACCTTAAGAAACCCCAGGGAGGCTTTTAGGCTTTACTTACATGCATATACTTTTAAAATATGTTGCTCATACAGATACTAGTATTGTGTATACTAATGATATAGGACAATTTGGTTGATTTATATTTCATGCACATGTGTGTTGGTAGT